CACACTCAAAAATAATACAATACAATAAATAAATAAATAAAATAAACAAACAAAAAATACATTTTCGTTTTAAATTGTTTCACTGGAGAACATTTTACAAGAAAATACTCTCTTATTTTCATATATTAATATTTGTTTTAATATATTATAAAATCAATGAAATTTCCGAGTGATTTAAAGTACATCATGCATCTTTTTTATATATTTTTACTAGCCCACCGTTAGTTATTTGAATAGTGACTTTAGGACTGAATTGTCCAAACTGTTATGATATTTTGGGTCGTGCACAGGGATCACATTTTGCACGTTTTGAAGCGGGCAGCCTGGAGCAGCAGGGGAACATTCATGTCAAGATTATCAGGGTTTGCTTGCTCATGTCGACATCTTCAGCTTTAGGCAATCCTATTACCTAACAACTTCACCAACTTCACAAGTTTTATCTTCACACACAGCTGTTCCCGAGGCAAAGCCTGGGCTGTATTTGTACGGGCCGAGCTTGCCTTCAAGGCAACTAAGTAAAATCCTTTCTCTCTTTTTTTTTTTTTTTTGCAGTGCACCTGTTTTTCATGAAATGGAAATATTTCCGTTTGGCCCTCAAGGGGTATTTGTTGTTGGAGATGCTGAGAAGGCATCCTGCTGGAAACCCTCATTTTTACATGTCAAAGGCTGTAATATAATGAACAGTACCACAGCGACGCCATGTTAGAAGCTGGCTGTGGAGGAAACTTTCTGTGTGAGCAATCGTGAGGGTGAATATATTCACAAGGTCGTGTCTTTGTGATGCTGGGTCAAATGATAAAGTACTGCTATTGAGAGAGTCTGTATGAGAAGAATTCAATGAGACTTACTCAAATGATGTTTAGTGAAACTTCTCAATAGAATCTCAAAAGACATATTTTATTGCTCAAACTTAAAAGTCTATAAAATAGTGCCTGATGTACTGTGTTAATAATAAAGAATTTTCTGCATTAATTTTCACAGGTTTTTTAACTATAGTTTGAATTATGCATTGAACGTTGTTGTGTTATAGGGTTAAAGGAAATGTTTATAAAATGTATGTGCTTTTATAATATTTATTATAGGTACTTAAAAAAATAATAATATATATATATATATATATATATATATATATATATATATATATATATATGCGAGCCA